AGTGGATTTTACTGAACTAAAGTGAAAAGCTGGCGTATTTTTGCAAAACTTTGAGCTCAATTATTGCTATTGTTATTCAATTTTTTAAAATAAAAACTATACTGTTATTTTTTTTAGAAGTAATATTTGTGCTATACCAGTATATTCAATCGAGAAAAAAATTTTTTTTTTTTCAATTTAGTTTTAAAAGTTGTGATAAAATCTTCACATTATTATTTAAAAACCAAACTATGTATTCTAGTAAAAAAACATTTTGTGATAGTTAACATTATCTTATGCATGAATTAGTGTTGGTTAAAAAAAAAAACTTTTACATTGTTTCTCTTTACATTTGAGAAGTCTCACAATACTCAAAAAAGTTTAGAAAGTCTTTCAATGTAGCAAATTATTTTCGATGATTAAAATATAAAAGTAGTGATTAATAAAAATTAAAAATCAATTGTCTTAGACATTTGAAATAGCTTTTGAATTTACTTTTTTTTTAATTTGACATTGATTTACTTTACAATGATATTTTTATTTTTTTAACTTTTAAAGGCATACTAAAAATATTAAAGATATTAATGTTATTACTCGATGGGTTAGTATTATGTCAAATTATTATACATTGACCTCCTTCCATCTAAATTGCGCTATGTAGATTTTTTATAGAAACGTCGCGCTTATTTTTAGAGTAAAAATCGCTGGAGTGCGAAAAACTTTGTCAATTCAAAATTACAAAGCAGTGAAAAAAGTTATCCGCTTCGGCCAGGAGTCAAACCTGGGCCTCCTTCTTGCCGGAAAGGTGTGTTAACCAACTTCGCCACCAAAGCCTCGGCAGACACCCTTCTCCACTGCTCTGCTTATGCGTGTCTTTAGGTCAAACGCCAATATTATAGACATTAATGTTATTACTCGATGAATACGTATTATGTCAAATTATTATACACTAGCAGCCCCCCATCTTGGCTTCGCCTGAGCCTTACTAAATAAAACACCGTAGCGTGTTGACATGTAATGTGAAACTTTTTCAGTTAGAAATTTTACACATATTCCTGACACATCTCAGAACAAAAATCTTTTTAATAAAAACACATTTTTTCGAAATCAACAAAGTTTATTTGGTCAAATAATAAGGTGTAAAAATTCAAAAAATATAATTATGCTGAAAAGTACCGTGCGTTCTTTATACGATAAAATAATCGGTGGCCATAAGGAGCCGTTGATTTGCAGGTTCACCCGTGTAATTTACGAAAAAGGACTATTTTTTAAAGCTGTTAAGATTTTAAACTCCCAAAAAATTCATATTAAANTAGATCATATGTAATTAAGAAGATAAAATTCTGTTTTATTGATGTCTTAGAAGATTTAGAAAAAACAGTTTTATTCAAAATATTAATTTATTATCTCATTTTTCGTGGAAAAATAATTTTATTTATGGCATGGACTGTCAAAAAATAAATGATACTTTAAAAAATAATGACCAGTCACAGAACATTTTGTTTACTATTAGATTTAAACAACATAGAATGGTTGTGTTTAGAATTTGTATCTGAAAGAAAAAGACGAAGAGAAATAGATTTAATCATATGGAACGAGGCTTTTATGATCCCCAAAAAGCCTTGATAATAGTTAAAAGAATATTACGTGATGTATGTAATATTAATATCGACTTTTGTGATAAATTATTTGTTGCAGAAGGCAATTTTATATAGATTCTTTCAGTAAGAAAAAAAAAAAAAAAAAAAAGTAGTAATAAAAGCATGATTGTACAAAAAAGTTTTAAATTGTTGTATCTTGAAACATTATTTCNGGTATTGTGTTAAAAAAATTGATAAATTTTGTATTTACTATTTACTAATATTTACTCATTTAAATAAAACCACTTCCTTCGAATATAGTTTCTATATTATTATACTTCATGTCCATTCAAAAAGTGCCCACATTGCTTTGATAAACTTGATTTTTTATGTACAATTTCTCATGTCACGAGCGCACCTCAAAATGCTCACCCAAAAAAGTGCCCAACGTGCCATAAGTTCAAGTTTTCACTTTTGCCTGCACTCCCGGAGTGCGACTTGTCAGTAACAAGCACGCTAACCATTGAGCTAACGCCACTTTCTTTTTACTCCTGTTAGTTCACTAATCATATTAATGGACATGTATAAGCAAATGATATGGTTTTCATGTAATCAAGTAAACAACAACAAATGAGTGAACAGATTATGTGAACCATGGACCTCACTCGTAGTCCTATTTACGACGATAAGATAGAATTTTTTTTTCTCTTTATTTGAATGTATGAAAAAAAATTTTGAATAAGATTACCTTCCTGTCGCCATCATCGACTTTACTTAGTGTTTTTCAGATTTTAATTCCAAGATTTCTATATTGTTTGAGTCTAATGGTAAACTAAATGTCTTATGACCAGTTATTTTTTTTAGAAGTAATATTTGTGCTATACCAGTATATTCAATCGAGAAAAAAATTTTTTTTTTTTCAATTTAGTTCGATTGTTTTTTTCATACGTATGGGTGCAGAAAGAGGCTAGTTAGCGCGTGGGGTGGATCTGAGAAGGAGATTATTGGGATTTGATCGAAAAATGATTGGATTTTGGGCGTTTGTGGTGCAAAGAAAATTGATCAATCAACAGCCTGTGCTCGGTATAATGAATCCAATGCCAGATTTCGGACTAATTGACCGGGCAATGAAAGCGGCGACGCTACCGGTAATAGATTCCGTTTCAGAAATGCTGCGATGTCGTACTCTCCAGTTGTTCGATTGGAATTTGCGTTACACAAATATCACGTTTCGGTTATTCGTATGTTCGATATTCGACGCGATCCGATATAATGTATCATTTGTTTGTCGTGTCATTTGGACGCGCGAGAAAAAAAAAGAGAGAGAGAAGGAAATTTGCTCGATAAAACGAATTTTTGAATTTATTCGTTATCGGTAACGTGGGTGGGGATGAAAAATTCGTTTTGTTCGTGCGTTAAACGCCGAAGCTAAATAACCGGTCTCGATAAAATCACGGGAAAAGTGTCACTCGGGACAAATAAATAAAATTCCAATACATACGCTTTCAAAGTTAATTGTAAATGAAACTCTTCTTTTTTTTCTTCCTCTTTTCCAAATAAATAAAATTGGACGTATCGATTTGATATCCGCGTGCATGCGCGCGCTCGAAACTCGATGTTTTAATTTAAAAACGGAACAGAGAGAAATGTATGTTTTTTAAACGCAATATTAGCATTGAAAAGAGGAAAAAACAAATCAATCAACTCCACCCACTCCGATGGACATCCGCGGTTTTGCCCCAATGGATACGTAGGTAATTATACTTGCACGTCACGTCAAAAGAATCCGATTCAAAAGGAAAAAAAAAAAAAAAAAAAAAAACAAGGTCGCGCGGTATATGCAAAAGCGCGAGTGCTCGGAAGAGAGGCGCGGGGCTCCAAAATGCGCGCATTTGAATAAACGTACAGGCCGTCCGGGCCTCCTCGTGCTCCCGTGGCTCGATGCGCCGAGATAAATTGGACGCGCTCCCGAATCCAAGGATGGGGAGGGGGTGCGATCCGGAGGTTGATTAAATCGGATGTTAATTAATGTAGATTTTTGAACGAGAGGAGGCTTACCTGCGAAGAAGACACGGGGCTGGCTCGGGGCGGGGGCTCCAGTCTGTTGGCCGGCCGATGGAGGGGCGGTGGCGGGCGGGGCGACGGGCGCCGCGAGCAGATCGTAATCGCTGCCGGAACTGCCGACCGACACGAAGCTGTAGGAGCCCCGTGACCAAGGATCGGCCCGCCACCTCGTCACTACGCTCTCCCTTGGCTGGGGCACCACCTGGTTCCCGAAAATGCCCTGCAACACCACCACCACCACCCATTTTTCCTTTACATGACTCTCGTCTTGCACTCTCTTTATCTCGCGGTGCACCTTTTTTCTTCATGGCTGGATTATATACCTACGCGACGGGATCTGACAGCCACCTCTTTGAAAACTTTGCTACGAGGGTACAAGGTACGCAAATTAATTGGGATCGTTACGGGGGAGCCATCGACATTGAACCTTCAATTATCTTTCTTTTTTTTATTCACCACTGCGGCGAAGTTTGTACAAGCAACACGAAGCTCTACCTGATCGTTGATAAAATTGTTTCAAGTATACCATGCACTTTCCATTGGGCTCATTACAACGAAAAAACATTTTAAAAAATGTATAAAAATAAAAAATTTAAGGATATATAAAGTCGATAAAGGCCGTTAGGGTATCTTGGCTACAAAAAATATAAGTCCAAATAAGGAAAGCGACATTTGTATACACTTACAACTTTAATTATATGTATATTACCAGCAAACTATATTCACTAACATTTGTACACGTGTGTGTTAGTTTATTTTTAAAGTTTACTTCTCATCGTAGTTGGTTAATAAAATGTGTATGAGTAGGTGTCGGAGTCCCTGAAAGTTAATAGAGTGTCAATAAGATTCCACAAAAATGGTGTTGTGAGATGTTGAGATGGGCAATGAGGGTCAAGTAAAATCTATCGTGGGTTGGTGGGGATATCTGGGGAGCACTGAAGAGCTGTAGGGGTTATGGGAGCAGTAGAGAGTCCGAAAAAATGTAAGCTAAGTCAAAATAAAGAAGAAAACGACAGAATTTTACTTTTCCTGTGGGGGCATTGGCGGTCAACATTGTAATAGTCCTAATCGGCGAGACTCATTTCTTTTCGATTACATATCATAAGTTCTCTTCTTTTCAAAGCATCTTAAATTGTTGTGTAAACTTCCTTTTGTTATTTAATTATAAATGAATAATAAAATTGTGTTCTTGCAAGTGCTGTGTTAGTGTTTGCATTAAATTATTTTAACTGGCTTCTCCTAGCTTCTTTTTCTTTCTTCTAAAGAAAACTGGCTTGTAGCATCACTTATTCTCCTGCTAAAATTTAATGAAAAATACAGTCCACTATAATGTTTGGGCACAATTCCGAACTTTGTACTTTGAACTTGACTCGTTTTGTATGTTTGTCAAAATAGATGCACTCTATAAAGAACTGTCTTGGCTAACCAAAAAGATGAAAAATGCCTTCAGTAATTTCAAAAAACTAGGCGAGGCAAAAATGACTAAGGAATAGGTGATCTCGAGTCTCAAACAATTATGGGAGACCTATAAGTTCTTTAAAGACAACCACAATGAGATACTCTTGTTAATGCTCCCCACTATACATGGTTATTTTCAGGAGAAGTCTTACAGTGTTGAAGAAGATGATTTTTACTTCACCCAGGGTGACGTTGAGGATTTCCTGATGAATTTAATTACTCAAATTCTAATCCTCAGCCTTTACCTTAGCCAAGTTCAGGTTTCATACGGAGTTTCTTATAATAACCTTCGATTAATTGACCGTATTTTTCTGGTGATTTTATTACATGGGAAAAATTTCAAGACGTATATGGGGCAATAGCTCATAGAAAATCAGACATCCCATGTTTTAATAAATACAAATTTCTAAAGGTACATTTAAAGAGGGAAGCTTCTAATCTCAATAAAAATATTATCTAATGTGAGAATCAATATGATCATGCTTGGGAAACGATAACTAAATGTTATGAAAAAAAGTCATCTGACTAACACTTACACTTTCTCTATCCTTGGTTGTCAGGAATTTCAGGCTTTCAAATTAAACGAATTTTTATAAATATGCTTGGTCCTCTAGACTAAGTTGTGGTCTTGGAAAAAATGTAGGTGACTTTTAACTGTTGATTGCCATGGTCATCAGTAAGTTTGACTTTTAAACAAGCAAGGAATAGGGCTTCCGCAAGACGAGACGATACGGGACTTTAAAGAATCTTGTCTTGGTCTTGGAAAATATCAAAATTTGAAATATTGTCTTGGTCTTGTCTTGGTTTTACATAAGTGGTCTTGGTCTCGTCTTGTTTAGTCTTGTTTTTTTGTCGATAAATGTTATTTTTTATTATTATAATTGAAAAATAGTATTAAATATAAATGGTAATATTTTTAGTAAAAATTAAGGTTATTGAATAGAGTACGTAATTTACTTAAGTAATTTATTGACAGTTAAAGATGGATCACTTTTTTCAGAACGATAGTGAACAATTATATAAAATCTTTAAACAAAAANTTTATTTTTTTTTTTTTTTTTTTTACAACTGCCGCCGCTGATGCTGCGCGAATTTAATGTGTTTATTTAACGACTTTTTTAAAGCCCGATAAAGTCCACCTGCTCGGATCCTCGCGCCCGTAATAGATCGACGCGAATAATTGAACGGCCCTCGTTTCTCCGTTTTCCTTGATTACGACGCGGGGACGTAAGGACCAGTTGACATTTTTTTTTTGTTTTTTCTTGTTTTTTAACGAATTTCCGTATACACTTGACTCGCGTCGTTTTTCAATCATTTTTTTTTTTTTTTCTTTTTTTTAGTTTAACGTATTCAGAAATCTTGAGTATCCACGTGTACGTTCATTTGTACGTACGCGCCGTACCTAATTTTTCATTTCAATCCCAAAACCAACATTCCGAAGCCGATGTCGTAGCATTAAAAAAAAATGAGAGGAGGATCCGTAAATAAACATTAGTCCCGTTACTGAAGCCCCTCGCCAACGTCATCCACGATCCTGTACTTGTCATCCCTCGAGGAAAGCCAGCCCAAGCTCTTCATCACTGATTACATCGGCGCATCATAATTAAGCAAATATTTGTGATAAATAATGAAAAAAAACGCGGGCTTTCCTTTTTTCGCGCTCGTAAATCGGGTCCCGCGACTTTTTACACGTACACGCGTTGGGGCACTCAAGTAAATCTTTTTACCAACAAACGCACGCAAGAGAGACTCGCTAACCCACTTGGAAATCTCACGACGCGTCTTCTCCCGTGTAAGATTCCGTCCGTTACGATGAAAAACGCCCCGGCAGTTAATTTTGTCATGCGTGTAACCCCCCGGCGAGGATGAGCAGCAAATTTCGTCGGCATCCCAGAGACGATAAGCCCACGCGCTCTCCAAATAAATACCGGCAAAATACACACGATTTTTTTCATACACTTGTACGACATCGGTACGCTATATTATAGTGTACGATTTTTCGGAGATAAGCTACGTTAGCCGTGGAAAAATAAATACGCGCACGCCGTTCCGAGCTGCCAATCGAGGGATTTAAACTCATTCGGAACAGCTCATCCGGATAAAAGTTTAGTCTCAACTCTGCCGCTTTGACCGTTAATTTAAACGCCAACTGTTTCTTTTCTTTTTTTTTTTTGCAGCAAGTACCAAAAAGTTTCGGTTAAATTCTCGCTAGAGTAGATGATCGTAAAAGTTTAATTGATCGGATTGCCCTACATTTGCACGATTCAACCGTAATGACTGCTATGTTCTTTGAATTTGAAACAAAATTGTCCAGCAAGCAAAAGAGAGCTGTCCCCGTAAGGTTGTGCCAAAACCGCAGCCGGGAATCCCTCGCAACCTCGGCACTTCGCGGAAAGAATTAAATCTGATAAGCCGGAGTGGTCATTAATAAAAAAAAAAAAAAAAGAAAAAGAAAAATTGTACGCACGAAAAAGACTTTGGTACACGCGGACGAGTGAAAAAGGAGGAGGCCCTTACGGGGTGATATATATTATGCGCGAGCGTACAAGTGGACGAGAGCCCACGGACGGACGGACGCGCGTAATCGGGTCTTACCTTGAGGACGGCGATGCAGCGGCCAACGATAACATCGTCGCTGACGTTTTCCATGACGCAGGCAGCCTCACCGGCGACGAGGGCGAGCAGCACCGGGGCTTTGTACAGATTCCAGAAGAGGAAGAGCTCACCGCGGGAGGCCGTTGTGCTGCCGACGTGACCGAAGAGGTTTGCCGTTGGATCCCAGAAAATCTTCTCGAAGCAGAGCACCACCTGTTACGGACACACAAGAGACACGCTCGCTTCAGATGAATGTGGGTAAGGAGGATGCGCTGGCTCGTTCTCCGTAATAATTATCTCGCGCTGCACAGCCCTTTTGAGGGATGGCCTCGCGCGCGTGAAACTTTTTTTCTTTTTTTCTTTTTTAGTGCCTAACTTTCCTGGCCGAGCTCGTCAGACTGGTTTTTCAACGTTGAAGCGTATTACGTCGACAAACAAATCTCTAGGCGCGACTTTTTTTTTTCCAAATACCACGCTACTTCGAGTTTTCGACAATCCAGTTTAGAAAAAACAAAAACTTGTGACTTAAAAAATAAGCTCAAAGTTCCTCGCTAAAATGTTCCAACTTGATGGACTCATCGAGCTTATTACCACCCAAGAAAACGTGGTACAAAGAAAAATTAACCTACCGCCTAATTAGTTTCAGCGCAAAGCGCGTCCACGACACATAACACATCGGAAAGGAGTGTGTCCCCATATTTATGCATATTATAATATATACTCCTTTATGCCAGAGGCACGCGCGACAAAATTACATTACATGAAGCATCTTCGGGAGCATCCAACCCTTCCCCCGGATGAATTATTCGTCGTTTCCTTGGTTTTTCGCGATCACGATGGGCTTTCTCTCTCGGGCTAATTACCCGGGAGATTCATTACGCGCCTCGCACAAGCGACAAGAGCTATACTTTGAGCGCGCGCTACACTACACTAATACTCCTAGGCTCTCCGTGCTGTTCAAGGGGCTGTGGAGGGTAGGGGGGGGAGGGGGCTCGAGTCATTACTAAATTACTAATTTAATTAAAGGCAGGCCTGCACGCCCGTTGGCTCTTGCGCGCATTTTTAATTACACGCCGAGTGGCGTCGGCAGCGGTGGCGCAAGAATTTCATTTCATCAATTTTATCACTGGCAGTGCTCTTTGTGCTGCACCTCCGTTATTTCGACCCGTCCCGAGCCTCCCTTCCACCGACCCCGAGTTGCTTACTTGTTTGCATTAGTGTAATTACCAAGAGCTGGCCATTTTTTTTTTTTCTCTTTTACCCCCTGCTCTTTTCTTTTCATCCCTATGTAGGAGCTTCTTGCCTTGTTTCACAAAGTTTTCTCGATGAGAAATTAATTGCTCGGGAAATTTCCCGCGACTCCTTTCGGGGGCCGGAGCAAGGGGACCGAGGGGGCTACGGGTGGGTTTCTTCTAAAAGGGACTTCTAATATCCATGGAAATATAGGAAGTCTCGAGGTATACCATAGCCCTAATTAAATAAATTTAATTAAGACAAATTTTGGGAGGGCAATCAAAAAAAAAGTATTGACTCTTTTGTATTTAGTTTGCTCCCATTTCAAAACGTAAAACTTACACAGAAGAAGTTGGAAAACAAGCCCGAGTCTGATTAAGTTGGGGTCTCGTGCGCTCCTGCAACAACATCTCCGGGATGAAAATAATACACGCAATCAGAGTATTGTTGGGTGTGCGACAATACGCGCCTTAATTACAAGTCCGTCATTCGGCGTCATGAAATTAAATCGCGCGAAAGAGAAAGGCCTGTAAATAAAAATACCTCACAAAAGGGAAAACGCAATTTGCCAAGCCGGGTGTACATATACATACAGCCAGGGCAAAGAGCGCGGGCAATTGAAAATTTCTCGGTATTCATCGTGTCTGCATAAAGAAAAATCCATTAACATGCTAATCCAAGTGTAGCGATGCAGCACCGGCCGTTCTTTCAAATAAATTTCCTCCCAAGAGAGAGAGAGAGAGAGGGAGGGGGGAGGGGGTGGCATAAAAATTTCTTTCAGCGAATTTCCACTGTAAAAAGATTGGCTGACGTTGACTGCAGCCTCGGACGGCGAGTATAAACAATTCCTTTTCAAACGCTGTACCGCTTGTACGACTCGAGTTTTCCTTCCTCCCCCCTCCCCTCCCCTTCTCTCTCGGCAAAAGCGGGACACGTCGCGCAACTGAATACGAAATATTTTTCCAACATTCCGCCGTAAGTATCGGAGTGCTTTTGCCCCTCGGCTTATTTAATCTTGAATTTCTCATCAGCTCCCTTTCACGGAGCACATAATTTTTGTTACGAGCCACCCCTCACACCACGAGCATGATGGTATGTATCGAAAAATGCAGTCTCACCTTGTTGAGGTTGCCAAAGCCGAGCCGGTGTATGGCCTGGGACTTCCAGTCGGGCAGGGGGGGGTTGAAGGTGACGGCCGAGGGTGGCGTCGAGGCTTTGAGCACACCGAGGGGCAGCGTCACGAGGACCGCCGCGCACTTGTAGACGGTGGTGTTGGTGCCTTGGCCCGCGCGGGCCGGGCCTGCGTACACCTCGACGCCGCTCGTGCTGTACCGCACGGTCCGCACGGCTGTGTTCAGCTTTATGTCCAAACCGTCCGACAGAGCCACGGGGACGCACGAGTAGCCGTTCCTCACTGAAACCAGAGATATCACATTCGATTGTCATACTTGATATATATTATTATCTTGCCATGCGTATACATAACGGCTGCTACCTGCGATGGGCCTCATTGTATTTAATTAAACAGTGGTGTGGTATATGTTGCGTGTGCTGGTGCGCAGAGTAAAGAGTACAAAAAATAAATAAAATAATAATAATAATAATAATAAACAACAGCGATGATACGATAACGCGAGAACGAAAAATCAACGGTGTATATGCAAATGTACGCCCGATGGGCCGCTGATTCGCGTACCTGATGTGCGTATCCACTGTAATGGCGTAAAAATGCACCCTTACATCGTTCTCGCAACTCGATAGCCGCTGTTGCGCTACCGCCATTACCTATACGCCGAGAGTTACATCACGATAAACATAAGAGGGTAGATGTTTATGTATATACCTATACCGAAGGATCGAATCGCAAAAATTTTTCCGTCGCAGATGCACGAGGGAAGGAAGTCGCGAGCGAGCCCCGGTTTGTTGTAGGTATATACATCCACACACAGCCACTTGGGCGCTACTGATGCCTGTGTGTGTACTCATACCACGGGATGTATATATACTATAACGTGCGAGCCCGCGTAGGGTGGCTGCTGCTTCCGATGGCCGGGAATTTGTTTCCCCTTAATTTATGAGCCCTTATCGCACGCGGAAATCTCGCGCCGCGCGCGGGACAGCAGCCCCACAGAGAGAGAAAGAGAGAGGAGTATTATGGACACACACACGGGGAGCAGCAGGAGAAAGAGCTCGCGTGTCGCGAATTTATAACGCTCGTTAGGCCGAACGCACTATCGAGATGCGGTGAGGTAGTAGAGGTGCTCGTGGTGCCCCATAGGTATGGGATGTTGTATTGTATTTATATACGTATATATGTACGGTGGGCCGTTTTTGCTCGCGAGCGGGACACAATATGCTCTCGCTTTTGACTTCCGGGACTCCGCCGCTGCTTTTCTTCCCCATCTCGCTTTGTTTCGCGCGGTCGGCTTTTTGTTCCTCCTCCTCCTCTTCTCCGGTGAATGGAGAGAAAAAGAGGTCTAGGGGGTTGGGTGATTTTTTCCCCGCCCCCCTCTTCGAGTGGAATGAGAGATAGAGAAGGCGTGACGGGGCGCCAAGAGTTGCGTGCGGGAGTGCGTTCGGATGCCGGTGACCGCATCAGCTAACCCCGTATTATATACGGGACTCGAGTCCCGCTCGTTTCAGCCGATCACGTGTCGGGAGATCGTTCAAAATTTTCCGAGTGTTATATTGGGTGTTGTTGATTGAACAACTCTATACACGTTAGCTGATGTAAGATTATGTGTACGCAATTGTACGCAATTTTACTGACAAAGTCTTAGCGAGTACAACTGTGCGGTAAACATGACAAAACGCCCACTTTGGGACGTGCCTATGAGTTGAAAGCTTTTTTAAAATTTTTTATACGAAAAACCCTCATGATTAGATAAAATTACTAATAAACGAATGTATTAAAGGAGAAATGCACGTCTTTTACTCACCCACAAAAGCGTGTTTGAATAAAAAGTAACGGTAGCAATAGCTTTTTCGCGAAAACGCGTTAATAAATCAGTATACCTCGTTAAATCCAGAGTTAATCGAGGGAAGAAAAACATTTTCAGTACACCATATCGTACACCCGAAACAATGGAAAACGTTTGATTGTCGTGAGCACTTTGGCGCGTGGAATATTAATCAAGAGAGAGGGGGAGGGGGTAGGAACCAACCGTATTATGAACTCGTAATTTCAGAGCTATAATATTTATACGTGGCCCGTTGAAATAGAAAACGTGCGCGGCACGAGGTATCGAAAACGTAAAACGGCGCGTTTATGATGACCCACTGTTTTACGCCGGTCGTAATTATCCTTCGCGGCGGAGGAGAGCGATAAACATGAAGCAAAACGGCGGAGCAAAAGATCAAGTATACATTTATGGAGGTCGAATCAACGGCGGAAGCGGCGGCAACAGTTTATATAAATATATTATACGCTCGCTAAATGAAAATGACGCAGCAGTATAGAATGAGATGGGATACGGTATTTATCTGTGTAGCCGTTAAAAAGTGATGGAATAAGCGTCAAGTTTATCGACTGCGCACCCGAGGGTGAGAAAAATTTTTGAGGTGCGTCCCGATAAAAACAGGAAAGAAAGGAGGTAAAGACGAAGGTGACTGCATATTTGGGCTAACTTGGTATATATATACATGTCATAGGCTTGATGTGGAAATTGCAAAAGGTATAAGTACTAGTAAAAAACATAGTGGCCCTGATAGTAATGAGCGACGATGGTGTTGGAGAAAACAGCAGGAGGGGCAAAGTGACGAGAAAAAAAGAAGTCAAGTCGGGCGAGGGGTAGATTTACAAGGTACTTGGTGTTTTCAGCACCTATGACGCGCATATGCGCGTAACGAACTTGTAAGTACATCCGCGTATGAATGTACCGACGCTGTACGTCGTATCGTCATAAATAACCTTCACTGAGCGTGTACGCGTGCCGAAGGAAACGAACGGAGGAAATTCTGTCTCTCTCTCTCTCTCCGTGGTGCTCGACTTTACGGGCAAATGCATCAAATTTTATCTGCCGTATTTAAATTATACGAGGCTCGGGGGAGTCTATTCGTACCATAATAGTATGTTGCATGTTTTTGCAACTAAATGATGCACTCGATGGATTCATCGTTATTTCGATTATAAAACTGCAACGAGGAAAAGGTAAATTAAACATGTTTTCTTTACAATCTGGAGAAGATGTTTGATATCGGAAGAGTAACTAAAAAATTGAGGAGCTCTCTTATTATTCAACAAAAAGTTTAAAATATGTGGCGATTTGAAATGAAAAAACAAATAACCTACGAGAAAAAAAAAAAAATTGTAATAACCCCAAGAATTTTTCTTTCGTTTACTACGGACATCAAATACTTGAGATTTTACCAGCTTCCCAAACTACACCTACGTTATACTCAGATTTTTCTGTAAAAATACTAAAATGGGACATTTTGACTCGTTAAACGCAGAATAGTTCGTGCATAATACCCAAGTGCATAGCCAGTCGACTCCACATTCAAGTTCCTCGTCACGGATTAAACTGCAGATAAATGAAAAAAATATAAAATAAATAGAAGTCAACTCCGTCGATCCACGAGGTGGGCTTGCAAACATCGCCAACTTGTAACTGGCACGTGCTATATATACCACACTCGCGCGAGCTCAACTATTTACCGCGAAGTATACGCGGAAATTCGCCGAAGGGCGAAACTTTTGGAAAAAAAAAGAGTAAACTGCACACGCTGGGAGTTCGTTTTCTGTAATTTCCTCGCTTGCTGCACCGAGCAAAAATCATACAGCATAGGGGTATGTACAAATATACACGGGGACGCGATAAAAAATATCGAAATTGAACATAACAACCGGGAGGAATCGGTGAGCGGACGCAAGGTAAAAAAAAAGGTGAAAAACACGCGTGCGCGTAGATATTGGTACGTATACGGGAGTAAATACGCTTCCAAAAAAAAAAAAAAAAAAAATTACGAAGAGTACATGCCAACGCGGGAAAAATCACGCTCGCGCGCACCCGCGGACTTATTTACATTTCCGATCAATTATTTTCACACTCGGCATAACTCACCCCCGGAGCCTGCAACTGTACCAATACGCGCGAGAGAAAGGGGCAGACGGGCGTCCCCCCCCCCCTTCCGACTAATTGTCATCCGGGAGGCAAACACACACACACACACCGGGGGACCAGCTAGTGCAGCCCGTGCCCCCATAAGCAAGCACGTGCGAAAGCCGCCACTCAATAAATACAATTTACTCGTGCATTAAACACCCTTAGTTACACCTACCTCCCTCGATTGGACCCGCCCTACGAAGGCACCCTCACTCGGAATTTCAAAAATCGCTACAACAACAATACCCACCTCTCTCTCTCTCACTCTCTATCTCACATAGCTTACGAGTACACGCGGTTACGTCAAAATTTTGCTTAAATCACGCAACCCTGTCGCACCTATACATAAGTATATTGATGTGTACTCGCGTTTGCTTGTGTGTGGTTACGGTGAGCAGTGGCACAAGCGCATATATTATATACATGGAGCCAGGGTGGGAAGAGAGGCCGCTCCCAATTACGCTAATTATGACGTACACGAGTTTACGTTCGAGGGTCAATTATGTCTGGCTTCGGGAGCCCTTCCTCATCTCTAACTATATATCCTCTACGTCCCAAGTACATGTATGTGTATGTGTATGTGTATATATATACATATATACACACACTCGCCTGCATTACTGTCACGTATGCCTATACGTATGGCGCTGGGCACCTCCCCAACCCCATCCCCGTGCCCATACTGTTACTTTAATGTGGATGTATGTACGCGCTTACGCCTATGTTTGTACATGTTACACTGTCGGTAGGTGTATTAACGCGTTGCAGTAGGTATACCTGTAGGTATACACACACCTGCTGGATGTTATATTTAATTTACAGCCAAGGGCTATTTACTGCGGACGGCGGCCGAAGGGGGAGGAGCTTTCGCGGTAAAATAGACGAGAGGGGTAGGAAGGGATCGGTGGTGGTCCGGGGCTAATTTATCGCGACGGGCGAAGGCACGCGAGAGATGGATGCTTGCGGATGCTGCTGCATTGTTTTCGTATTTTTGCGCCAACCCGGTCGGTCGTGCGGCATCGATCGGGTGCTGTGTGTGTGTGTGTGTGGCGCAGCTTCGAGCTAAATTGTTTGACTTTGGGGGTGTAATCAGTGCGATCTGGGGACCACTCGTTACGGCGGAAGCGATTCCGATGGGATATGATTAATGGGGAAGGTGCATCCGCGAAGCGCATTTTTTTCCCCCCTTCTCCTTGGCTGTTTCGTCGGACGGGTTTTTTCTTTGAAAAAGTGCACTTTCTCAAAAGTGCATGATTAATCCGCGAAATTTCGGGACGATATTTGTGACGCGATACGAGATATCCCGCGGGAGGGTGATTTGCTCGGGAGTGTGGCTGTTGAGAAACTTTGAATTGCAGTTGAAAAAGTAAAGTTGCCCAGATACGCATTTTGGGTACATGATGGCT